GCAAAATAGCAAAAATCGAAAATTATGGATGAAATCAACCATGTTCAAGTAAAATTGGCCAATGTGCGAGTTTAAAAGTATGTTGTTTACAGTTAAAGTGATCGGCGAAAGGTGATCGGTGGGTTGGTGAATCTGTAAATAAAAGAGGGACAGTCAAGAGTTAAAAAATTTATTAAACTTGAAGAAAATATGAGTAAAATGCAAATATTTTATTTTTTGCAGTTGATTTTTTGGGTCGTAAAAAGATTTATTAAAAACAAAAAAAGCTAAAGTGCTAGCTTCTTGAATGACCCAGCATTGATCTCGTCCTCAGCTGGTCGCTTAAACTGGCCATTATCCTCTTTGAGGAGCTCAACCGCCTTGGGATGCATAAACTCAGGAGCAGCATCCCAGTTGGCCTGCCGGACAAATTTACTGTCCCACCAGAGCTGGTGGCTAATGTACTGGTTTCCCGGTTCAAATAAGAACCGGCGCATTGAGTGGAATAGGTTCCTGAATATCTTCCCTGGATTTCCTATCCCAAACAATTCCAGATACTTTTCCTTAACCATCATGATGCTGTACCGACTCAAAGCCAGGCTTTGGCTGTCCAGGAACTTGAACCCCTGAACATCATCCCTCTTAGTATTAGCTGAGCGTACTGCGTCCATAACGACATAGAGAACACTCTCCAGGTCGTCGAGGATTCCCCGGATGGGGCTGCTGCTGAGCATGGGAATACCCATGAAAAGCGGCGTCCCTGTAAATGGGTCCTTGGCCACCTCCACTTGTCCCACTGTTGTTGCATTGAATCCCCACTGTTCGGCAACCTCAATATGTTTAAGTTGAGTTGGGCCAGTGTCCCTGGCAGCATCCTCAGCAGTGCCCCAGCCAATGACCTTGGCACAGCCCCAGTCAATGACATACACCTTGTCGTTTTTGACGCACACATTTCCTGCCGAGATATCCCTGTGCAGGACACCAGTGTCATTTGCCTGGGCAAGACACAGGGTCAGCTGCTTGACAAAGCCAGGAACCAGCTCAGCCTTCTGATTGTCAGTCTTGACTTTCAGATACTCGGCCATTGACTGGCCGCAGTACTCCATGAGCACGAACTCCAGCCGGTATCCATTGAGGTTGCTGATGAGCAGGCCCTTCGAAAAGATCTTGGGAATACCTTCGACTGGTCTCTTGCTGAGGATGGCGTATGCGGCACCCTCGGGCAAACGATTGACTTGGGTCCAGGAAAGCTTCAGCACAGTATCACGACCTTTGCAAGTCCCCTTGAGTAAATGGACATGGCGCCCAATCATGTATGAATAACGCGTTATTGTCCCCTCGATACAAAACAGAACAGTGCCATCCTTGACATCCTCACCATCCTCACCATCCATGACATCCTCGTCATCCTCATCACCCATGGAAACCGAGTATAAGACTTCGATCTTCAAACTGCCATTCCTCTTGCCCTTGCCCTTGCCTTTGTCATTGTCATTGTTATCGGCTTTGCCCTTGTGCGAAAAAATGAAAGAGTTAGGTTTCTTCGAGACATCGCAGAAATGTCCGAAAATGGTTGACTCAAGGGTCAGTAGGAACCAGAACCGCATGAGGCATGTCTGAATTTCTTTTGCTAGTTTAGGCGTCCAACGATCAGTATCAAAGCATAGCCGCCCAAGCTCAACGACATACAGTTTGTCACGATAATATGCGTGAAGCGTCAGGAGGTGCCCATGGAGGTAGAAGACAGGCGCAAACGTGCGGGTTGCCTGCTGATCATTAAGCAAATGGCCGTAATCTGCGAGCTGGCCGCGAGTATCCTCTATAGGTCCACCAAAATCTGGATCCATCTTAGCTTCGAGTATAGCATGGATGGAATGAGCGTTCTCCTCTGCGTAGTCTCTGTGGTAAAACGCGATGTCTGGCTTGTGCGGAGTCTTTGGTATAACCCTATTCTGATGGTCACTCAGATTAAGCCTGCAGTCTGGGATTGGAGTTCCGCCTGTCGGAATAACCCCATTTGCGACATCAACCGCATTGACCATTGCGTCGAAGAGGAGGATAAAATATTTGACCAAGCGAGCTTCCTTAGCCAACCCGATAAATTTCCCCGAGTTGCTTTTGAACACATCAGCAATGGGGAAATCGCCGAGCTCCTCAATCGGGCGATCTGTATTGGCTACGATGCCCTTGCTATCAGCCACTGGCGACCCTCTGGCTATGTCGAGGAAAAGATCAGGCCAATCCTTGATGAACTGATTATACTGCTCTTCCACACCCAACGATTTGACAAACTTATCGAACAGATCGACTTTCTTAATGTTATCGCCAAGGCATTTCAGCAGCCGCTGACGGCGCTTATCGCGTACTTCGGGGGGCTCTGATTCCCCGGGTGGCAGTTCCTCCCTTTTTTGAATTTTCTGGGGCGTTTGGAAAGTACCGCCTGTCTTGCTGTTCTAATAAAAAATAAAACAAAATGTTTTAAATTAGTGACTGAATTAGTATTATATGCAAACAAAATAAACAACAACAAACAATTCACCAATACCATAATAATTCGTTTATATTCAAGTACTTACGCCTATTTGATTCGGCGGGGTCTTATTCGGAGGAGCTAGCTCAGACATCATTGAGAGAAAAGGAAAGGGAAATATAAAGAGAGGGAGAGAGAGAGAGAGAGAGAGAGAGAGTGTGTGTGTGTGTGTGTGTGATAAGCACTAAGGTATGGTAAAAGTAATAAAAAGTGAAGAAAAAACAATTTGAACGAAATGGTGCGAATTGAGAAAAAAAAGCAAATTTCAAAAGTAGAAGCAAAAGTGGAAAGTTGCAAAGGTGAAAAATTGTTGCGATTGATTGTGCAAAAAAATTTGAACAAGAAATTATTTTATTATAAACAAGAAGCTTCCGAGCTTATTTTAGTGCTCGCATTTGGTTGGCTGAAATATCAAAACAAGAAATAATTATATTTACGGATTAATTTACAATCGGCATTGTGTTCCCTCTCTTGCACATTGTTTTTGCTTCTATTGCTTCTTTTGGGAATATGGTGACCCCGCCATTCACTACTGTAAAAAATATATGCTTTAACACATACATTGAACCAGAGATCCGTTCATGTTCCATCGCCTGGCTGCCATATCAATTGAGACACAGAGCCCCATGTTTCATGTATCCACGATGGGAGCATAAAATTATGAATGTGAGAAAAAGTCCACTGGGACCTTTAAGACCCAGCCGCAGATCTTGCGGCTGAGACGGTCAATAGAATCCAGGTGTATCCAGTACCGATAGATGGTATATTAGAGAAACTCAAGGAACATGTGAACGCCCACTACCAGGATAAAGAAGCTGGAATCTGGATGTGAGGTGCAGCTGGCAGGAGCTGACAGAGTACAGGCACACAACGCTGGTCAAGAAAATTCAAGGGAATCATGCAACAACAAGCAATGGTGTTTGTAAATGAGATTGTACATAATCAGCACGACTGGTACAAGAGACAGTGAGCTTGCACGTCGAACGATAAATGAGGGTATTCTTGACACCTGAGAAATGCCGACTGTTGGTACCTCTGATCTCAACAAACATCCCAAATACCAAATATGTGACAAGATGATGGCCTGCCAAAGTGGCCGCAGACGAGAGCAATGAGGGCAGCAGATATGCACACTAGCTATATGGCCACGATTGACGCTTTAGTTGGCAGATTAAGTGCTTGTATTTGATTTTACTAACACCTCGGCAGACAGTTCCACTGCCAGAAAATTAGACATAGCTCTGAGTAACCAGAGGCATGTAGCCAGGTTCTGAAATAGGGTTCAAGATGGGTACGGTGGCGCAGTAGAAAATCAATTTTATTCATCAATTTCAGTTTTTGTCTTTTTGTTGGAATCTGGGAGTTCTATGAATATTCAGTGAAGGTGAAGAGATAAACACTATGTATATATAATTATATATTGTAAAAGTGCTATGCATTGATGGAGTGCGACAGTAAAGCTATTTGATGTGTATCCCTATATGACTATTAATTGAGTGGTTGTCTGGCTAAACAACCAAGGCTGGCTAATCAGTTGATCGCGACCAGCTAATAAAATATAATTGCAAGTTTGCAGAACTGCTCGGTTTAAAATATTAGTTTAACAATGGCGCTGCAAATAATTCATTTAAAACAGGCTTAATGTGTTCAAAATTTACATGTTGAAATACTATTTTATTAGATGCATGGTGGTTTCTATTTTTAAAATACAAATGTCATTTTGAGTTTGGCATTCTTAACCACCCTTGCCAGTTTAGTCGCATTCTTTACAATGTGTTGGAAAAATTTACAACGGGCTTTCAAAAAACATTTAGTCGGACTGTTGCACAGACTGAAAATATGGAAGTAGATGTCAAGGTTGAGAATCATGAAACAGGTTTCCACCTGCATGCCGGTTGATAGGGTACTAATTGGATCATGCAGGCGTAAATTAGGAAGGCATAATAATGATGTCTAGACATGCTCCCCATTTTTTAATGCACACGCATGGGTGCACACACACAAAAACCACGACACTGACTTGCCAAAATACCGGTCTGCTTGCAGAAGAATTAGTTCTTACCAACGGAGTGCACACTTGGCAGTGTGCACAACAAAGGCGACGAGGCACATATATAAGACAAGGCCAGCCCTGGCAGTATTTTAGAAATATCAGTAATAAAACCTTTTATAAAATCACACATTTCTAACACTAGATAACTAGTGCTCCTCACACACCCCTCTTATTATAACAGGACAATCCTAGTTCACATTTTCCACATGCTTATTGTTATTTTAAAAATATATATTTGAACTGAATGAACTAAAAGAAAGCTAAGAGATGAACAGCCTCCACTGTTCATATTCATTAGTATGTATGCATGCATATGAATTCCTGCATATCCAAGTAAGGAATTAACTAGTGATTGGTTCATTAATCAATTGCCAGAGACAAGCTGCAATTTCTTGTATCACAATGACCCACGTCTTACGTCTGATTTTTGGAAATAGCTGATGAAATTGTGTGGTGTCAAGATAAATATGACAACAGCAAGACACATAGAAGGAGATGGGGAGACAGAGAGGAGAAATCGGACAGTTGAACAAGTTTTGCGTGCATTCACTGACTATAACCAAAAGAACTGGGACAACATTCTGCCATTTGCTGAGTATGCAATCAACACTTCCAAGCAAGCTGGCATTGAGCTCACACCAATGCATGTTGTACATGGCCATGAACCAGTCGCACCCAATGTCCTATTCAACCCACAGACCAACCAGGCCAACTTGACCCTGTCCGATTTCATGAACCATCACCAATAAGTCATCCGTCAAGCATGCGACACACTGGCAGCAGTCCAGGATACAGTGACAGCCCAAGTAAACTGTAACTGCTGCGACATCTAATTCAAGGCTGGAGATCTCATCATTATCAGTGCCACCATGATCAACTCTGACTATGAATGCAACCACCAATCTGCTAAACTGGGTGACTGCTGGCTTGGACCATACAAGATTCTAGAGGCATTTTCACCTGCCATATACTGCATTGAGCTGCCTCCCAATGTCTGTGCACACAATGTTTTCCACATATCATAAACCCAAGGCATAAATTTCAAGACCAACTGAGCTGCTGCACCCAGGACCAGTTGACAATACTTCAGACCGCTTTAAAGTCGACGACATTTTGGATCATCATGACCATCAAGGCTGCAGACAATATCTCATCCAGTGGACTGGTTACTCAGAAACTGGGTCAGATTGGATCGACGAATATAATGTTGATGATGACTTAGGCATTACTTAGACCAGTTGGTAACGTCTTAGGATGAAGGAGTGTTGGGCACAGATTTCCCTAATAGGAAATGCCCATCAGTTGCCCTTTTCTTTGTTAGTACAAAGACTCGCAGTCATAAAAAGGGTAATAAAACAACATTTATTAGTTCTCTCTCTTCTCTTTTCTTGGTTTTTATGGAATATAATTTAGTCTACTTATGAAATACACTCATTAACATATATGATGGGGGTTTGCATGTTTGCCAGAACTGTTATCTGGGTCTGTGTCAGGATCTTTGTGGATGACGTTGTAGTGCTAGACTGATATCTGGTATTTTCAAGCATTGCTGCATTTTTTGGATGACAGCTGGCTGGTCCAGTGGTTGTAAATAGTTGTATAGGTCATGTGACAGTAGATATAATGCAATCAACAGATTAATTATAAATCAACACTATCTTACTATAACAAATGGGAAACAAATTTAACTAAATGAATTGTAGATGCCATTGCGATTTATCTTTACTAGCGAGTTTTGAATATATGTTCTAACTTGTATTTGACTGGTATTTATAATATATTTGTTAGCCAAGCCGAGATGGTGCACTAACACGGCCATAGTCTAGCAGCAGGCTTGTATAAGCATTCTCATAAATACAATGCAAGTCCTCATCAAGTTCAGGAATGGAGTCGACAATATTGTCATCCTCCTCTCCCAAGCAGCCAATTCCACTTGGAACACCTAAAATTGGATTAAGTTCTGGAGGTAGCAGTGGTGCTGGCTGCAGCCAAAAGTCACCTTCACCACCCAGCTCATGCACACCCAGTGCATTGATAGTAATAACCCCATCTGTGCATTGAGAAGCAGTGGCCATAGCAGCAGACACAGGCATGAAATCATTAAGATTTGTGGTGGGCTGCGGAAACGGAGTGGTTGTAGAGTTTCCAAACTCTATGCCTGCAGTGTCTAGTTGTGGCAAAGACTGCACTGGTTGGCTTGGTAAGACAGTAGTTGCTGCTGTAACCGGCCATCCCAAGCCAATACTGGTCAATGGCGCTTCAGCTTCTGGTGAGTCATCAGTAGCAAATGCAGTTTTTACACTATTATGCTGCATATTTGCCATAGCTGGAATTGGCATGGCATCTGCAGCTGCAGCTGTAGTTACTACTGGTAGCCACGAGGGAGCAGCACCCAGGCTTACTCCAGAGCCGTCATCAGCCGACATGCTAGGCCCAGGCACAATAGAAGCACCGCCAACCAAACTCAAAGCATCTGCCAATCCGTCATTTGAATCGACGGACTGCTGACTATTGTCAATATTTTTGGGCGACAATAAAACGTTGTCTGCACATTTGCTCGGATTGCGCGACCTTAAAGCTGACTGTGGAAGCAGCCCTGGATGACGAGACACGCCTGCAGCAATGCCAATTGCGCGACTGCGTCGAAGACTGGAGCATGGCTGCTGCAGACAATAGGCGACAATGCGGTCATACATGGTCTGGAGTCGGGCAGTCAATCCACCATAGCGTAGCTCCAAGGTCTCCCAGCCAAAGGGCTTGTAAATACGATGCCATCTCGAGCGATGGTACAGCCAGAGCTCACGCTGCGCCTCAATCAATGGGCGTAAGCGGGTCTCAGCGACCTGAAGCAAGGCCTCATGATTTTCGGCACGGTATGGACCAACAAGCTTGGCGCGCAGATTGCACTTGAGCTCCAGCACACGAGCGAGCAGGCCGGGCATGCGCAGCAGACGGTTAAGTGGGTAGCGCACAGTGGCAGTGCCATTGGGCACAGCCGACATTCCAGAGTTGGTCGACGACAGAGCACAGTCAAGTAAGCGGTCGGCAATCTCGGTAAAATGGACTTCAAGGTCCAGCGTTTCATACTGTGGGCTCATGAATGACAGCATCGGATCCTCCCACAGAACCCACTTGCTCATGTTGGATGGCAGCTGTGCACGTATATGCAGTGTGTCAGCTTGTGGGATCTCGTCAATGCGACTGGCATGCATCCAGTCGCCCAGCGAGCCACCGCAGATGGCTGCAAAGGTGTTCTCCATAAAGTCAACGTCGATCTCAGGTTTCGCTGTGTATGCATGGTTGCCGGCATACAGCATGACGGGCAGCGCTGAGAAAAAGTCGCACTCGTTGCCCTCATCACCCCAGATGGTCAGCATAAAGCTCGACACGCGGCCCTCAAGTGATTTGGCAGCGACCAGGCTGGCGCGGTTCGACTCAAAAGAAAACGGCAGGTGGCACCAGAAGCGTGTCCACGTCCACGCGCCACTGGCCATCCATGGGTTCGCACAGCCCAGCTCGCGGTGCTGCTGGATCTTGCGTGTGTAGATCTCGGGCGCCGTATGGTAGTAGTCCCAGAACACCAGGTCGACGTCTGGCGGGATCCCTTCGACCTTGGCAAGGGCGCTGGCCGGGCTGTTGGTCTGGTCATAGTAGGCGTAGAGCGCGTTGTTTTTAGCGGCCAGGCAGAACAACATGTCCGACCACAGCATTGGCCGCAGCCCGTGGCGCTTGCAGATGTCATTGACGCGGCCTAGGTGCTCTACAAAGATGGCTGTGCCCTCTTGCGCGCCAAACAGCGTTCGGAAGCGGCCCTCGCCCACGCCGTATGCCTCGTCCATGCCAATGTGGATGCGCCTTGAGCGCAGCGGCGCGCTGACTGTGGCAATGAGTTTTTCGAGCAGCGCGTATGTCTCGGGCAGCCGGCTCAGAACGACCTCGTTAGTGTCGCGGATCCCAGCGTACCGCGGCCACTGCAGGATTTGGCCCAGGTGGCCCAGCGTCTGGATGCACGCGACGACCTCGATCCCCATACTGTACGCATAATCGTCGACGGTGCGCAGCTCCTGCTGCGTGTACCCACCGCGCAGGTAGCCGAAGAACGGCTCATCAGCAACTTTGTACGTGTCCTCTGTGTACAGCTGCAGCATGTTGAACCCCATCAATGCCATGTTGCGCAGCATCGCGAAGATGCTCTTGACACAAAGCACGCCGTTGCGGCTGCAGTCGATCATCAGCGCCAGCGTCTCAAACTGGGCCGTCTCGGCGATCGTGAAATCAGGCGAGCTCAACGACCGGTCGTCGCCACTTGTGCTGGCCGCGACTTCGGCCGCGCGCGCAGCCGTCAGCACCTGGCCCAACGCACGGAAAGCGTCAATAATGCGATGGTAGCGGACGACAAATCACCGCCGCTGCCGCTGACCTCGTATGAGCCTGATGGAAGCACGATCTCGTCGGTAACGGGCTCGAACCGCACGGTCCAGAGGTACTGTGCTGTGGCTCCACACTCAGTGCGATAAAAATACGCGACATTATGGTTCTCGGCAACCTGGCGCAGGCCAGCACGCAAATCTTCCGGCGCGCTCTCATAGTCGACGGCGATTTTGACGCGAATGGCATCGGTGTCCATGAGCGTGCGCAGCGGTGCCGAGTCGCTGTTTTCTGCTGGGCCGCCGGCTGTGGTTGGCGTGGAAATAGCCATCGGTGATGACCGGCCTGATTCGGCTTGCGACTCGTCTGTGCGCATGGGAGTTCCCGAATGCTGTTTTGTCTTTTGCTTCTTTCGTGTTTCGCTGGGCGGGCTGTGTGGCAGTGGCGGCTGTACAGGTGGTTGGTTGGATGCCATAAGTACTTGTTGTTGCTTCTTCTGCCTCTGGTCGCAATGTGCTTCGAAAATAAGAAAGCTTTTGCTTGAGCGTGTGTATGTCTACTAAGTCGGACTGCTCTTATTTCGTATTTGCACACCCAGAAATGTCTAAAGTGAAGGGGAGTGAAGTGAGGTGAGTCGGAATTACAGAGAAATATTGAATGAAAGAGCGAGTACAACAAATAAAAAGAAAAGTATCATTCGTATTCATACCCAGCACCCACTCCTCAAAGTAAAAATTGTACTTGAACACCCGCATCCTGTTTTTTACGCACAGCCCAGTTGGGCATTCAGCGCCACGAAATGAAAAGGAAAACGGAGAAGGGGGTGGCGGGCAAACAGTAAAAAAGTAAAGGGTGATGTCACTCCCACTCATATGCAGACAAAACTGATATTGCAATCCTTGTTTTTTCTGCTGCTGTGCTTTCTCATCCGCAAAAGAGATTGACAAATTTGCTGTCGCGGTCAACATAGATGGTCAGTTGGTCTCGCTGCTTGCTGTCGGTGACACGTCATCATATGTTCGGATGATCCTGTACTTTGGCAGCAACTCGCTTTCGAGCATGGACTGGTTTTCGACGCCAAGTGGCCGCCTCTCATGGCCTTCGATAATCATTGTATTCTCGAGCATCCGCGTCTAGTGCATGGCGTTGCATAGCGAGCGTTAGTATGAGTCGCCGAAAGTGATGTCGACCAGTGTAAGTGACGTAGCAACTAGAAGCATTACCAAAAGTGAAGAAAAATAGGAGCGCGCATATGCAGCAAAAGATAACGGCGCGACTAGACCAAATTTATATTCTATGTTTCAGATGGGATACAAGCAACCAAACGAAATATAATAAAAAGGAATGTCAGAACTACAGTGCGCCTAGATCAGGAGAAGGGGGTACTTTTATATTCAAACTATCATGCGCATAATATTTTTATTTTGCACAATGACCAATGATGATTGGTTACTGTTGGGGATTATTAATAACGAAACGAAGCGAGACGTATCTGTATATACCCCGTATATATTTTTCATTTTATTTATTATATCGAAACAGTTAATTTTGTGTGTGTACGCAGAGTAGTCACTTTTTTTCTTAATAATTTTATTGCAGAAAAAATTGTAAAGCGACTTTGATATTTGCAGGAATCATGCGTGTCTTACTTGATGCAGAATCTAGGCACTTGCAAGTAAAATTTCTTAATAACACGAATGCCAAAGCAGGATATGTTTAGCACTAACAAAACCAAAGGTTAAGGTATCTGGTAAACAAATTATTTACCCAGAAAATCGGGCCTGACCAATATTGTTTTTTGACAACAGCAACAGCTACACAGCATCCAATTGCAACCGCGTTGGATGAAACGAGATGAATAAGGCTGTCGTTGGGTATATAAATAACCTCCAAACCCTCAACCCACCTCAAACGTTATAAAAAATCTATTCTTTCCACACAAACCTCCCTCCTCCACCACCCCCCCCCCACTGCAAACAAATAAAACAGCTAATTGTTAATTTTGCTACTAATATCATCATCTGCCACACAATAATCAAGTTTATATAATTTAATGACTCCTCTTGACTTTGTCTCCGTCGTGTTGCTCGCGCTGTCTCTCACTCTGAGAGTACAGGCTGCCGCCACCAAAATTGGCCAAGACAACATCATTTGCCAACCAACCACATGCGCCCAGCACTCCAAGCCAGGAACTTGAAGAGAGAGACGCGCGCTATCAGCAATGAGTGGCGCCAAGAAATGCTCGTAATCCTCAACAACCTTCGCGCCCAAGCCGGCGGACAGCCTGTCGAATTGAGAGATGAGATCAATAACATGGCACAGAAGCACTCGGAGTACCAGGCGCACGCCAATGTTATGACCCACAAGGATCCCAGCGGATCCCTCGGTGACCGCGGATCGGCTAGTGGCATTAAGTGGGCGGGAATTTCCGAAAACGTTGCATTTGGGTCTCAGACTGTTGAGGACGTCATGAAGATGTGGGTGTCGAGCCCGCCGCATTATGCCAATATGCTCGGTAACTACTCTCTTGTCGGATTCGGTCTTGCATCAAACAATACCATAAGCAAATACGATATATACTGGACCCAGAACTTTATTCTGCCTCGCTAGATATAAACTGTAGCATTAATTTATGTTTAGTTTAGATAAATTATGTGCTTTCTCGATTAGTGAGTCGCAGGACAAGATAATTTTTGTTTTACTTATTTCATAAACAATAATAAAAAATACTTTTTATTTGCTATATCTTGACAACAGGTTTAGTGCCAATGTACGCGACCATCATGCCGCATTGGAACAGCTCGTATCCACGACCAGGCATGTGGAAGCCAGCGCGGCGTATGGCCTCAACAAACTGGGCCTGGTGCGGGAAATTAAGCACGCTGGTTGCCAGCCTCTCATAAGACTTGCCATCCTTATACAGAAGCTGGCTAATCATAGGAACCGCCTTGGCAAGATACCAGCGGCACACCGACCCAAACAGCGGCGTGTCAACATGCCCATACTCAAGGCAAGCAAAGCGGCCTCCGGGCTTAAGCACCCTATACGCAGCACTCAGCGCGCGCTCCGGGTGTGCCAAGTTATGCATTCCAGCTGAAATGCTATAGATATCCACCGAGTTATCCGGCACATTCGCCAAATCCTCAGCATCACCCTGAGCAAATGTCACCCGACCCTCACGCATCCACGGTGTCCCGCCCAGCCGTGCCTCACCAGCCTTCAGCATATGCTCGTTAAAGTCCACCACATGCACTGACGACGCCGAGTCGCGGTTCACCGAGTCTTGGTATTCGAGATAATGCTTGGCAATTTCGCACGTGCCCCCGGCAACATCCAAAAGTCGAGCACCTGGGGCAGGCGCCATGCGCTGGACAAACCTGCGCTTCCACATGGTGTTCATAAAAAGCGACAGCACGTTAAGTACCGTGTCGTAGCGGTCTGCCACTTTGCAGTACACTTTGTCCATCACTTGGCCCTTGTCCGTGATTGGCACCGTGTCGTTGTACAGTGAGCTGTTGTTGACTCCCGTGATGTCGGAAATGGACGACCGAGTTGTCGTGCGCAATCCAGCAACTTGTTGCTGCTGCTGATACTGCTGCCGGGACAAACCCGGAAGGAGTGCGTAGAAAGGATTGGCTGTAGCAGACATACCGCTAGAAGCATTTTTGCGCGAGAGCAGGGCTTGGGTGCGAATAAGGGCGTTTCTGTTGAGCATCATCAAAAAATATTGTAATAAAAAACGTTAATCGTGAGCGTAAGCTTTGTGGTAAAAATAGAGGGGAGGTGATAAAATAGGGCGATGAGATAAAGTAGAAAAAAGGGAAGTGCGTGAAAATTGGTAGGAAAAAAAAGCTGAGCGGAAATAAAACATTTTTTGCATATTTATTGTGAGCGCTGGGCTGCTCCTGTATATATACATAATCACAGCCTGTAATTGTTCCCTGGTGATATTGGCTTATGAGAACAAAACAAGTAATGTCGAGTAAATTGAAACCAATATTTTTGGTTGCTGTTAGTCATTCTTCGTGCAAGTACCTGACAGGGGTGGCGCTGTTGGCATTGTCTTGTTGTACAACGAACCCCCAGGGAGTGAATGCAAATACAATTGTTATGTTGGTACTTCGCCACATTATGAACATCATTAACCTGCGCTGCCGTAAAAAAAACCTAGCTTATTTATTATACATATCAAAAAATACAATCGAAAATCGAAAAATACATTCTCTCTTTTTTGCTTTCGCTGCCATTAAATTGTCATGTTTGAATTAAGGCTGAGCCACGTTTAGTTTATGGCCTCAGTTATCATGAGTTATTGGCTCTGCAGCCACATATATAATTGTGTTTACATATGTGACAATCCAGACATCCCTTGATTATATTATTACGCCATTAAAAAAACTACCTCTGCTTGCACGTGTGCGTAATAAAAATAATTGGTGCACTCTTTTTCTTGGCCACCCCTTTTTATATTGTCTTTAGATCTCTGTTTTCTTTTCTTTTCAAAAGCATGGCCCATTGAGTAAAAGAACAGAGCGCTGAACAGCAGACACATTTTAATTGCACAAAAAAACGTTTAAAGTAAAAAAGCAAAAAACAATTATTCTTTTAACTGTACTCTTTATTTCAATGCTTCCTCCTGTCTTTTTACATCCAATCTATTCTTCATTTTAATTAGCCTGTGAAATTGGCCTTCACTAAAAGAAATAAAAAAGAGCTCAGCGACTTTTATGTAAAAAAGAAAAATGACAAAGTCTTGTCCTCGCCCATTGATTTTTTGTTTTTGGTTTCTACTCGACATGAATAATTTTGTAGTTTAAAAAATTGTTTTCATACTTTGCTTCAATATATTTCAGTATACTTTTTATTTATTGCGCTTTTAATCTTATTATCATATTTCTTATTATCCCTCCTATTTCCACATATCCGCATACATACACACATTCACATATTAAAACATGTGGAAGACCGTCGCTTCTTTTACCGGAATCTTGGTCCTCGCAACGCTGTTGCTGGATTCCAAGCCCAAGTTTGACCACCACAGCTTGCGGCACCGTAACAACGTGAAGCGCCAGGAAACCGGCAGTGTTGTTGTCACTGATATTCCTGACTACATACTTGTATCCCCCGACTTTGTCGCACTAGCGCCCACAGCGCCCGGCGGTCTCAGCGTCAACGGCATTAACAACATGTTGTGTCTAGCCAATCGTCTGCGATACGATCAGGGAATTAAGCCCTTGGCTTTGGACGCGCAGCTCGTGAGGTTTGCGCAATCCAGAGCCGAGTTCTTGAGCAGTATCCACGCAATCATCACTAATAATAATATTGTAGGCATGAATGACCCACTGCCATACAACAATACTGTGTGGTCGGTTGTGACGGAAAACCTAGTGCACACACAGAACAACCCGACGTTTGCGTATTGGGAAATTCAGGGTAACAAAGAGGCTGCTTCAAATTTGGCAAACCCCGACTTTATGTATTTTGGCGCAGGCCATTACGATGGTTATTTTGTGCAAGTGTTTGGTAAGCCAGTCAAACCAACAACAACGACTGACATGTTCCCGCTGTGCACGGCTAACCAGACATTCTTCAACTGGGTATATCCAAACGGTTCCCCGGATAAGCCTGTTGACAAAAGCAATATTGTCAAAACGGCGTACCCCTACGCTGAAATTGAAAAGATATCGCCACTGTACTACTCGACCACAAACGAGGACCACGACAATGGACGCACAAACGACATAAAATACTATTTTACACCAAAGCTGGGCAATGTGCCGCACCTCAAAAGCCTTGAAATTATAGACTCTGTTGCTCCTGCCGACAGCAAAACGCCATATGCGGCTATCGCCAGCTCGGGAGAGCAAGGCATGACAGAAGATGAGCTCAACCTATTGGTCTGCTTAATTAACGCTCGGCGCTACGAGTCATGCTTGCCGCCTGTTGCCCTGCACCCGCAGCTGATTGCTGCCGCGCAGGCACACAGCTACGAGATGAATTTTGGACAAAATATGAGCCACTACGGCGCAATGGGAAGTGTTGGGCAGCGCATCAAGCGCCGCGGATTTAGTTTCCGCAATGCCGGCGAAAATGTTGTCGCAAACACTCACGAAGTGTACGCCGGCCATGTCACATTTATGCAGAGCCAGGGTCATCTAAACAACATTATTAATCCAAAGTATACGTTTATTGGTGGTGGACGCTCGGGTCAATTCTGGACAGTCAATTTTGCCAATTATATGAATGATTCAATGACGCCCGACCCAATGACTTTGCCTTTGTGCCCTGGTAACGCCACAAATATTGCTATTGCTTTTCCAAATGGCCTGCCAAGCGAACCAAAGCTTGAGAAAACGGCTTGTGGGAATACTGTAGCCACTTCGATTGTGCCGCCGCCATACATTCAGGAGCAGAGGACGCGGACAGATGAGGCGGCAGTGCCTACAAGCTCGGTGGCACAGCTGGCAAACAGTGAGATTATTGCACCCACTGCCACTATTTCTGGTGTGGTTTATGTCACTGTTGTTGATGTGGTAACAAGTTATGTCGAAGAGGGCTTTGTCCCACCAAGCCAAAGTGTTGATGGGTCTGGAGTTGACATGTCCTCGCTAACCATAAGTGGAGCAGAATCATCAATTGTGCCGACATATAAGACTCACTCAAGTACATTGTTGTCAAGGCCTGTCGTTATTATATCTGCCTAGGTTTATTTATTTCATTAAAAACTGGAACAGTTAAATACGTAGGTATTTTATGTATTGTTGAGCAGCCTGATGATACAGAAGTAGATGTTAATGAAAACCCGTTTCACGATCTTTAACCTCAACATGCCAATTAACAGGGCATAGATGGTACCATGTAGGATCAAATCAGGGAATACAATAATGACACCCTGATATACCCCTCCACTCCATAATGTATATGCTTGAATGCGCACATGCAAAGATCACAGCCTTGACACGCCAAGACGCCAGTCTGCCCGCAGAAGAACCAGTTCTCACCAACGGAGTGCACAATTGGTAAAGTGCACAATAAAGGCAATGAGACATATGAGGTCAGCCTCAGTTACGCTTTTGATTCCATTGATAATAAAAACTTTCATAAACTAACACCCCACCTCTAACACTACATCGTAGTGCTCTACACACACACACCTTTTATTATAACAGTATATATTAGTTACTTTTTATTTCTATTTTTGATGTTACCTCCAGTTTTTTTTAATTCCTTGTTTTTTATTTCAACTGTAGAAGAAGAAATGTACGTAACAATTTTTTTCGCGAAAGATAAAAAATAGAAAATAATCAAACCAGTGACGCAATTCTGACCCACATCTTTATTTCTTTTAAAATGCTCCCAAATAGGCAAAACATGCGGTCAAAATATTTTTTATATTTATCCTTTTGGAAATCCAGATCGGCAAGTCATTCTTGTTTTGTCATTCTGCAACTTTTGTTCACCAACAGCAATGACAACAAAAACAACAACAATGACAACAAACAAACAAACAAACAAACAGATAGTAAGACCACGCGGTTTCTATGATGAATAAATAAATAAAAAGTACTAATGGAGCTGTTAATTTTCTATTACAAGCTATCTGAATTGTAGGGTGTGCGATTCAGGTCCAACACCTTTGGTTGCTAAAGCATCTGTTGCGAAATCCATTACCATACGTTGGATATTCGGGTTTAGTGTTAGTGAACAATGGAAAACACAAGAATCGTGCAAATGCGTGTGCATTTGGTCTACATACTGCAACATGAATACTGAAATAAATAAATAAATTGCTATTGTATTGGAAAACAAGTTTATTTACTTGGTTTTCGGCCTTATTTATAGCTTGTATATCAGCCAAATATAACTTTTTACAAAAATCACAACGTTCTCTAGACTATAAATATATTCAAAAGTTCTAAACTACCTGAGACATGCTTGTTCAACTAGACAGGATTGTCGTATGGTTGTATTCAAGCACCTGAGCGGAGTATCTGCTGAAATGGAGCAATGCACATTTTATTATATTTTATTGCATTAAATTGAATTGGATTGCAGCTCAAGTGCCAAGCATAATTTTCAATTTTCAGCGCTCATTTTTCAGTTGTAGATCAAAGAACGCAATTGTTCGCCTCTAGGTTGTTCGCAATATCCACTGGTCACTTGGAAAGCCCCTTTTTATATAAATATGTTTGACTGCCGAACACCAAAGATGACAATGACAATGACAATAATGATGATGATTGTGTTGACCACCCGCCCGTGCACTCAAACACAAAGAAAAATAACGAATCTCACAGCTGGAAATGATAATGCCGGCTGCAATACAATACAAGGTTTATTCAAAGCCTGCAAATAAGAAGAACGATTTTAGTTTCCAATATCCAAAATGTGCCGACTACAAACGAGACGCATAGTTGGCATGCGGACACATACACATGGTGTGAGAGAATATGGCCATCTCTGAAAGGAAACGCGAGTAGTCAGACTGAGAAATAAATAGAAAAGCCAAAGGGGGAAAAGAGCAACTAGAGACAGAGATCGACACGCGCAAATCGCCGAATTGCCAATGCATCAATTGGCACTCGTTTTTTCTTTCTTTTCTCACATAGGTATTCTTGCTTTGCTTGGCACATTTCAAAATACAAAAAGACGTTCTTTCCACGACCCGCTGTTTTTTTTCTTGTTCACGGCGCGGTGCTAATAACGCTGTTGTTGTTATTTTTGATTTCCACAAAGAAACGCACGCATGGCAGCGCAGTGCCGGGCCGCTTGAACCTCAACGAACCTCAACCTTAGCCTCAGTCAGTGCAAAAACAATGTGGAAAGCACATTTAAATAAAAAGATGACCATTGCTTTCCACACATCTTGTCCTTTGCCACACATGCAGAAGTGCTGCTTGCTGCTTTTATTGGCTGTATAGTAGAAGCCAAATCAGGTTTGTTGACTGGGTTGCAAGCAAAACAACCAAATGAAAGCCAGGGCGGGAGGGTAAAAAAGGGCATGAGGGGGTGGTTGCTGGACCGTGGTTTAATCCCGTTTTTTGGGGGCGATTTTGTCATGCATCTCTTGATGCCAGGCAGCACACCCTTTGTGTCCCCTTTATTTGTGATCCTTCCCTGCTCCTCACCACACAAACACGCAAATGTTGACTTCCGCCGGATGCAAGAGCATCATTTGCGACGAAGCACGCTGGGAGTGGATTTCTAGAAACAGAAGGTGAAAGAGAACGAGAACGATGGTGAGAAAGAGTCGGCAAGTAAGAAGACATTCAAATACAAGCGGTCTGCTCGTATCGGTCTCGTTGACATTTTCTTCTTCTTTTCTTCTTTTTCTTCACCTATATTTGTGCTTACCTTTTGGCGATTTTCCCCTCTCTTTAGCTTTCCTTGCCGTTTGCTTTCTTCTCCCGCCTACCGCTTCCCATTTCATTCTATTCTGTTATTCAATAACTTTCGGTGTGCCAGGCTGTGCCTTCACCTCGCGTATTTCCATCTCCACTAGTATCCACTCCATCCCGAGCTCTTTCCATCTCAACAACCAACCCAGACTCTCGCTTGCAGAGCTTTTTCTCACTTTTCACCTCTACTTTTCAGAACATCAAACAATGAAGCTCACCAGCGCTTTCGCCATCCTCGCGGCCACCATTGCCTCTGCCAGCGCGCAGAGCGCCGGGGCCACCATCGGTCAGGATCTTTGCTGCGCCACCAACCAAGAGCGCGCCCAGGCTGGCCTTCCGGCCCTCAAGTGGACCCCAGCCTTGGACTTGAGCTCGCAGAGACACTGCGACTACCAGCGGAGTACCGGCAAAATGGACCACTTCGAGGCTGCCGGGTCTGCGACATACGGCCTGGGCGGACGTTTGAGCCTTGCTGGCTTTGAATTCAGCACTGCTGGTGAGAACCTCGGCAAGAAGTTCACCAGCGTTTCGGGTGTGACTACCGCATGGATGAACTCGCCTGGACACAAGGCCAACATCATGGGCAAGGCCTTTACCGTCTGCGGTGGTGCTGTTGCCAGCCCCGGCGGCTACTACACCATCAACTACGCCTCGCCCATGGACAGCGATGACAGCTCTAAGTACTACACCCTGCAGTGCAGCGGTCCCAAGTCCAACGGCGCTTATGTCGGTGCTGCCCCCGTTGCTCACAACGCGAAGCCCACCAGCTCTGCCGCCCCCGTTGTTGTGATCCCCGCTTCGACCAGCTATGCTGTCGCTAAGCCTACCGTTGTTGCCAGGCCTGTTGTTGTCAAGCCCGTTGCCACCACCCCCGCTGCCGTTAAGCCTGTCGTTGTCGTTAAGCCTACTGCCACCACTCCCGCCGCCGCCAAGCCCGTTTCCACCACCCCCGTTGCCGCCAAGCCCGTTGCCACCACCCCCGCCGCTGTTAACCCTGTCACTACCACCCCTGTTGTCGTTGTCAAGCCCGCCCCCAACACCGTCATCCCCGTCGGCAAGTGCAAGCGCGTGCCCAAGGGCTCGATCGCCGCTGGCAAGTGCAAGGCCTGCAAGAAGTGCAGCACCAACAGCTCCCCCTTCCGCCGTTAAATACCAGCACTACCCCTCTTTTATAACTCCAGCCTTTAGTTTCCAGGCTTGGTCGTAGTTATGACAACATACCCTGCAATTCCCGCTCACGCACTCACACCCCAGCCTTTTCGATTTATTTGTTTCCTTCTTTATACTATCTGCTTTACTAATTATTCTCATTTGTATCGCTTCAAAATTGTGAATTTTCATCGCAAAAGAATCCTAAAGGTGGTGATGCATTGAACATACAAGAAGCGTGTATTAGTCGCATTTTCTATTTCCAATGTCATTTTTATGTAGTGTTTGTTTTTGCTGTTATTTATTTATTTAAATCGAATAAATAAAAAATGTTTATTAAACCCGAAAAAAAGACAATGGACAGAGTGCCTGGATAATTAGTTTCAAATATATTTTGAACTGAGATGGAATCAAGAACTCCATTGTTTGTTTCCGCTCACCAAGCTTAAATTTAAAAATAAACACAATCAATTACCAGTAACCACGCGCGGGCGTTGTTCTCAAGTGCAAAGCTTCATTTTAGAATCTTTGGCGCCATTAACAGTCACTTTGTGGTTTGTATTGTACATTGAGCTTTTCTATTTTTATTTTTTAGCACTGCTGAATCGAACAAATTGCGATTGTCTAGATTTTTGTTTTGCCAATGCCACTTCCCACGCCACTACTGCTTTGCACTCTGCTGGCTCAGCGCATGTCAGTTGTAGCCGCCACCGCGTCGCTTCATATCTATGTTTTTTCTTGGTCTCTTTGCTTTGCTTTTATATTATTTGTCTTTTATATTGAATTAGCTCGCTAGCGAAATCCACATTTCGTCAGAAAAAAGAAAGGCTATAAAAATGCACAACAGCACCAATAGCAGCAGCAATAGCAACACAGCCAACGCCAGCGCCGGTTCCGCGCGAGTTCTGTCCATCCAGTCGCACGTCGTATCGGGCTACGTCGGCAATCGCGCGGCAACATTCCCGCTCCAACTGCTCGGACACGAAGTGGACGTTATCAACACAGTGCAGTTCAGCAACCACACCGGATACAACCAGTTCCGCGGGCAGCGGTTCCCAGCCGATCACATCCTCGACCTCTTTGCGGGGCTGCAGGCCAACCAGCTGGATACCGGATACACGCACCTGCTGGCCGGGTACATGGGCAACAGTGAGAACGTGCGTGCAGTCGAGACCATTGCGCGCCAGCTGCTGCAGACAAACCCAGGCCTCCAGTTTGTCCTAGATCCCGTCATGGGCGACGAGGGTGCGCTGTACGTGCCCAGGGAGCTGGTAGCGCTGTACCGCGACGTGCTGTGCCCCCTGGCCAGCATGGTGACGCCAAACCAATTCGAGGCCGAGCTGCTGACAGGCATTACCATAGAGACGCTGGACGACGCGCGCAGCGCCTGCAACAGGCTGCACGAGCTGGGTGTTCCCAACGTCGTTATCACGTCGTCCGAGCTCAAGAACTCGAAGGGGACTCTGCACCTGGTCGGATCCGAATTAAACGCGACGAGCGGGGAGAGCACCAGTTTGCGATTACGTTCCCGCGCCTTGACGGGTACTTCACGGCACAGGCGACTTTTTCGCCGCGCTGACTATGGCCCGACACGCGTCGCTGGTGGCCAGCTATGGCGGCCGTTTGGGCGCGCTGGCAAGAGCCTGCGAGCTGGCTACGGCCACACAGGCAGGCATCATGGAGGCCACGCAGCGCCATCAGCAGGCGACAGGCATTGCCGTGTCCGATAGCCTGGTGCGCGGCACGCGGCCGAGCGGCATGGTGAGGGGATTTGAGCTGCGCATCATTCCCTCGCAAAGCCTGATTACAAGCCCAACCAAGAGCTTCACAGCAGAGATAATTTGAATAATTTACATGGATTTTTTATTTACAACATGAAACAAAAAGCAAATATACAAACACCAATCTTGTGCGCCAAAGCTCAAGTTATTCTTGTTTACCTATCAACAGCAATAAATAAAACACGTATAAAAAGGCGCAGTGTAATTAGTAAACACAGGTTCAACAGCTAAACGCCTGCGGCGTTGCGGGTTGTTCAAAACAAAAAGGGGTTTGGGTTGGTGTATCAGTCCTCAGTGATCTTGGTGATTGAAAAGAGTCCACATATATTTTCTCTCGGATAAATGCTAAATGGTTTTAATCATTGGATTTATAGACACATCCCGCCCCTCCCTTTGGTTGTAAAGAAGCTAGCAAGGCAATGGCAACAAACAATAACAAATTCTTACCTTATTCAATGATTTATCATCGTCGACTACTAACTAGCTTGGTTTTCTCAAAACGCAGGCACTCTACACTAATGAAAGCAATAAATGTAATACTAAATCGCCAATTAGCAAAAGGCACTCCTGTTCATTGGGCTATAAGCGTCAAAGCCAGCAGCAAGTCGTTAGATGTGACTGCGTTCAGTAAAAATAGTCGGCCTCATATGGTCTAGAAGCCTTTTTATAAGCTCCCGGCGAGGAGCCCAGCAAAAAGACCCATTCAGACGCAAATTACAAAGTACCATCACCACAGAGTCAGCAAGCAACAAAAGTGCTGTCATCACATTACTAAGGCATTAGTAAGAAAAACGTACCTTAATAGAATAGCCGAAGCACCTGAGAATACAATAAAAGAAGAGCTGGAGGTACAAGTAGAACAGAACAGCAAGAGCAGTGCCCAAATGCCCAGCGCCTTGCTTTTAAACGATAAGCAGAAGAGAAAAACGCGTTTCAAACAAAGGTATGAGAAATATTGTGCTGCAGTCGCACAAAGAAAAATTTTCAATCTCCTGATCAGCAGATTGGGTCGGGCAGATCAAAGTATACAATAAATCGGGGTCGAATTTCTGTGCTTATTTTGCGCCCGAATTTGCAATCATCGGCTTGATCTGAGCGGACATAAATATACACGTGATATGGGCTTTTGTAGTCTATGATTTCATTGTTTGTAGTGAGCGACAGCACTCAAAAATAAAGGAAATCAAAAATCACAACACAGAAATCCCGCTTCTGCCCACACTGCACATCATATCCCAAGTGTAGTGCGAAAAGGGCAGGCAGGCAGGCAGGCATCTTGTTTTATTCGGTTGACGGATTGGCAACCAAAAAAGGGCTTCAAAGGCCAGAGAATGCAAGGTTCAAAGCTCAATAAATATCATGCAAGTCCTTTCGCAAAAAAAGAATAAAATGGAAATAAAAAAGCCTGCTATTCTGTTGCTGTGCTTTTGTGGCAGGCTGGGTGGACACAAACGCAGCACGGCAGGGCGACACTGCAGATGAAAAAACAACAAAGTTCCTGAGTAAGGGAAAAAAAGAGGAGCAATCGTTTGCTCTTTGTGTTTCTTTCTCTTCTTTCTCTTTGGCATTGGTCTCTTTGTTGTTGTTAAATTTCTCCCTTTTATTTTTCTGTTAATAGCCTTGTTAATACCACTACGTAATATCTTTTTCTTTTTAAAATCCAATCGACCTGTTATTTGACATACAGACATATATTTCCATATTGCCGCTTAATCCAGCGCGTAGTACTTAATAAAGGCAAGTGTTTCTTTTTAAACCGTTGTGTCTGGCTTGGGTATTTGACTTTTTTTCCTTCCATTATTTTGCTACTACTGCGCTATGATTTCTTCCTTTTTTGCTTGTTCACAGATGCCGATATATTGGCAACTGTGTGCAGCACTTCAAATCAGATCTCGCTCATTAAAAATTAATGAAAAAAGTACACAAGTAGAGCGAGAAGTTGCAAATGAACAGGCCCGATTTTCTCACCTTTTTTCTTTCTTGCTCACCAACGAGCAGAACAACTGCCCGTCCGATGAAACGGGAGTGGCAGTAGCGACCATAGCGCGGGTGTTTGTGCGCACAAAGCTACACGTAAACCTTGCAAGAATAGATAATAAAGAAAGTAAAGGGGCAAATTAAAAAAAACCACAACAAAGGGATGACTACTCTTTTTTTTCTTTCTTCTTCGTCTTATTGTTCAGATAAAAATAACATTGCTTTTTTTGTTCTGTTCTTTCTGTTCAATTTGATAATTCTATTTCATCATTATTTATGCCATACAACTAATAATACACACACGCAAGTGCTAGTGGCCAGCACACTTGTTTTATTTATTACATTAACTTACTTTTATCACTTGTAGATATATACATAACACAAGACAACCCAGCCCAGCAAATCAAAACCCAGCAAATCACACCACACACAGGTATTTATCATTTTTATTCCACGAAGGCAGCCATAGAAGCAATAACAGCAGCATAACAGCAGCAGCAACAACAGCAAACCAAAATGGCCTCTCGTCGCTCGCCGAAACGGGCGTCAGCATCGAGTAGGCACCGCAGCGCAAACAACAACAACGCTGCCAAGGCACAGCAGCCGTCGGCGCCGGCCTCACACCAGCACATGCCAGAGTCGCAAGACCGCCAGCAGCTAATGTCAATATTCGGCACATTCCCATCAGAGGCGGAGCTCGAATCACAGGCGGCAGCAGTTGCAGCAGCAGCTGAAGCGACAGACCATCTGATGAGTCAAGGCGTCGGCACGGGAGTTGCGACAGACGGCAGTCCGGGTTCCTCGTCATACAACCATCGCACCATGGAGTTTTTGTCGCCCAGCCCGCCATCATCAGCCAACGCATCGGCCGCCAGCAGCGAGCAACTGCCTGAAAATGTGCAATTTTCAATGTCTGGCACAGCCCGGCAACAGCAGCAGCAGCATTTCCAGGCTGGCTCGGCCCAGAATGACCGCCAGCAGAGAAAAGTCGTGGCCGCGTACAACAACCAATTTGCGCACTTGTTGGGCAAACCTGTGCAGAACGTGACGCCCAGCGGCAACCTCGAGTCACCGTCAGTTAGTCTAATATCAGGTTCGTCGTTCAACTCGCCGCGCACAATAACGCTTGATGACTTGCAGCAGTCTTCGCGGATGCAGCCACGGCGCACTCACCACAACAACATAAGCAGCAGCGGAAACACTGATGAAGCACGGCATACTGCCAGCCAGCTGCTGAAAACCGCAGCGTCCAAGGGCAAATGGTCTCAGCACACAACACCATCTCCGCATACAACAGCGCTGAATGCTGAGCGCGACTCGGGTGTCTTTGGCGGCCAGTCGTTTACTTTTGTCACACCGCCAAATGTAAGCACTGGGGGCACACCACAACCGCTCAGTGGCTTTGAGCCAATTGAAGAGCTTGACGAGGATGTGAGCTGGTCGCAGGCAGTTGCGCGCTCGCAGGGTGTCACGCAGCTGGCAATTGAGCGCCAGCCAATGCCTCAGTTCGACGACAGCGGTGACGAAAATAACAGCTACGACGATATGGCAGACAATAGGGACTATAGTCCGCGACCGAGGTATGAGGTACACGTGCCAGCACCCGAGACGCTGGCACGCACGCCGACACTGATTACGCGGTCGCCGACACCAACGCGCATGTTAGAGCAGCAGAAACAGAGGCCGCGGACGCCCTCGCAGTTATCGTCTGCGTCGCCATTAGCATCACAGAGCCGGCGCCCACGAGCGACTACGATGTTGGCGGGCGATCAGCAAGTCACGTACGGCAACGCAATTGGCCGCAAGAGCGCTGGTGGCAGCAGTAGTGGTGGTGGAATCAATGTCAACAGTAGCAGCCGAGAAACATACAGCACGCACAGTCGGTCGCGGTCGTTTGGAAGCACTAGCACCGAGCCCATCACTTTGCAGCAGTTACAGAGCCAGCGAATTCGATTGCAGCAGCAGCAGCAGCAACACTACACCCAGCATCGGGACACGCCGAGAGACGAGTTGTCAGTGTCGCTGATTCCACCGCCGCCTGAGGGTGGAGCACTGCAGTTTCTCAATCCGTTTGTCGGGCGCAGCAGTGGCTCGGCAGGCGACATGCCCGGATTGGATCCTTCAGAGGGCATGCCCGAGTACTTGTACGAGCGGCAGGATCCGCAGTACGAGACGGCCGACAGCGCCACGCGCACGCGCATTCGAAACCGCAAGCAGCGCAACCCGTCATCAGTCATGTCAGCGGGAGCCAGCCCCATATACACGAGGGAGTCAGTATACACGCCGTCTAACGCCGGATCCAATATGACGTACGAGATGACCTACCTGGGTATGCACCGCACAATGACTGCCTCGCGTGCCAACACATCGATGGTCACCTCAGAGTACTCGACAGGCGGCCTCAATCGCGGCGACTCGCGGCGCCGGTCATCGTCAGTGGCCAGCGACCGTCGCCAACAAGCAGACATTGTTATTGCCGCTCAAGCCGAGCTGGGCTCTTCGCCCTTGCCTTTATCGACAGAGGAGCTGCGCAGAGAGCAGCGGGGCCAAATGCACAAGCGCAGTGAGAGCGTCGGGTCGTCGCGCGTCAGCAGTATCCGCGACGAAATCGAGCAGCGCCAGGCAGCACTGGCGCAGGAGTCTGCCAAGGAAGCATGGGGTATGCTTCGGCAAAAATCATCGTTGTCACAGCGCAACAACCAGCCCGCGCAGTCAGCGACGCACACGGCCAAGACGCCACCGGTGCTGGAGCGCTGGGAGCACGCGCGTCGCAAGACGGAAGGCAAGGTGGTGTATTCGTCACCGTCGGCGTCGTCGTCTTCGTCCGTAGCGGCAGGTGTTGTGAGCGCCGCCGCTGTGGCGATGACTTCCCACTCGCAAAAGGTTGCACAGATCCGCGAGCGCATCGAGGAGTGGCAGCAGCGCACTGAGACGCCAGAGCCATCGCTGACGACGATGCCGGCGATTACCGGTAGCAACATTTCCATGCAGGACCGAAGCCGTGAATCGGCAGCAACTGGCAGCTCGGCGGCAACAACAGCGAGGGGTGCGCAGCAAAATGTCGGCGAAATCGAATCTGTTGCCGCGTCCGCTGCGCCGTCAAAGGCCGCCGTATCGCCCGAATCTGCGTCCTCGCAGCC